TAATCATGAAGGTCTTGAGATGAATTAATAAAAGAAAGAATGCATAAATGAGAGAATTTTTTTCTGTAGCTCCTATCACAATTCTATGATGAGGATTTTTTGTTTTTGTGTTTGCAGGGGGGATAGAGGGGGGGGGGTTTGTTTTGTTTTGTTTTTTTACTTTGAGATGAGGTCTTGCCATTTTGTCCAGGATGGCCTCAAACTCCAGGGCTCTAGGGATCATCTCCTGCCTCAGCCTTCCAAGTAGCTGGAACTACAGCTCACTTCACCATGTCTGACAGAGTGGATGAGGAAAAGTGAACCTTGATGCAGCCAAATAACAAGAAAGTATAATGTCTAGCTTATAGGCAAATTTAGTGATGGATACAGAGAATATAAAGGAGAGTAAAGTAAGGACTTGTTTTTCAGGTATAAAATACCTGACAGGATGATCTCTAAGGCCCCTCTTCAAATTATTGTAGCAAGATCTATCTGAGCTGATGCATCTGTCATTGAGTGTGGTTACCTGAGGGGCAGTAGCTGACCCAACTGGAGCACAGTATGCCAGGGTTGCAGTCATTTGAATAACTAGCCAGGGCAGCCAAGATTAGGGATAAGAACTGTGGCCTCAGTGGCACTGTGTAGCAGCTAACAGCGCTGACTAAACTGAATAGAATAGGTCATCTCAGCAGATGTCCATGTAGCATCTTTAGTCCAGGTACTTTAGGTGATGGAGGTACAGTGATGTGTAAGGAACTGTCCTTGTCTTTGAGGCAGTTGTAGTCCAACTGGAGAGAAGGACACAAATAGGAGAACAGCTATAAAACTTTTGAATTATAGCCAGCCATGGTCATGCACATCTGTAATCCCAGCAACTCAAGAAGCTGAAGCAGGAGGGATCATAAATTCAAGGCCAGCCTGAGCAACTTAGACCATAAGCAACTTAATGAGACCCTGTCTCAAAATAAAAAAAATAGAAAGGGTTGGCAATGTGGCTCAGTGATAAAGCCCCCCTGAATTCAGTCCCCAGTACCAAAAACAAAAGCAAAAACAAGACTGTGTTTGTGGAGAATGCCAGCAGGTCTCAGCACTGAAGGCCTGAAACATTTCAAAACTTCTCATGGGTGCTGGTCCAAAGTCCCCTGGCTGCCCTGTGCCCTCAGGCTTTGCCTCATTCTTACTTTGCCATTCCTCATCTCTTTTAACCCTAGAAATGTTATGAAGCAGACATTATTGTTATGCCTGTCCAGGGCTGAGGATGTAGCTCAATGCAGGGTGCTTGCCGGGCATGTGTGAAGCTTTGGGACTTCCCAGTGTATCCCTGGCACTGCAAAAAACTAAATAGCACTGTGGGATAGAACTTCCTGCAGTGATGGAAATGTTCTAGACCTGCACTATAACCACATGTGGCTCTTGAGTTCTTAAAACATGGTTAGTGCAACAGAGGTGCTCAGTTTGTGCTTTTATTTAATTTTAATGTTAATAGTGACGTGTGGTCGGTCAGTGGTTACTATTAGCTTGAGCTTAGAGTCCCCAGCTTCTTCAGGACCTCGTGTGATCCAGCCTCCACTACCTGTCTTATCTCTGCTTTTCCTCTCTTCACACCCTAGTCTAGCCCCCTCTGGCTTCCTTTCAGTCCTTCAGATATACCTGGTCTGTCCAGTCCCTGAATGGCTTCTCCCCTTACCCACTTGAAATCTTGGCTCAAATGTCATCTTTGCAAAGAGGCCCACCCTGACCATCCCTCAACTCCCTGTCTCCTCTCCCTCTTCTTGTCTTTTTTCCTATACACTCACTATTGCTAACATGATATGACATTGTTAGTAGTATTATTGACCCTCCCTCCCCTCACCTGTTAAGTGTCATGAAAGAGTTTTTTATCTCCTTATTTGCTGATGTATTCCCAGTGCAATTAATAGTGCCTGAAACATAGTACTCACTCAATAAAGATTGGCTCACTCATAGGAATCACACCTGGCCTGCCTACCCAGACCTATATTCTCAATCACTGCATGTTTTTTCCTCTTGGTGAGTGCAGTATTTTCTCACAGTGTATGAGAGAAGCTTCATTTGAAAGAAACACAAGAGAAAAACAAGTGTCCCTCATCTGCCCAGTACCACTGAATCATACATGTCTTAGAAGGAAATAAACAAACCACAACTTAGACAACAGCTGTTTTATAAATTGCAGACCAGAAGACTGTATCAGCTCTGTTTAAAATGTAGTGTTAGTCCTCCCACTTTACTTATAGTACTATAACAGGAAGAGGAGACTTCAAGAATCGGGAAAAGAGTGCTTCCAACCTCACGGCTAGTAGAGTCCAGCGGAGCCCAGCAATGGAGAGATGGATACTACCCTCCTCGGCATCCAGTCTGGTTCTGATCAACTTCTGGAATTTCAGCTCGGTTTGGATAAGGGCAGAGTCTGCCCTATAAAAACCCCACCTCAGAAACCCACGCCAGGATCCCTCCATCCATTTGTGGTCTTGTGGGCCAGTGCAGCAGATTTCTTAGTGAAAAGGAAGCTGCCTCTGGGATTGGAAGACCAATAGAAAGAAGAACTCTGACATATTTCATTTTTCTTTGTTATTCCATTTAGTCTGCCAAGACTTTAACAGCCAAGAATGAAATGTTTATACATAAAGTAGAGCATTTCATAGTAATTCCCTGGATGCTGAAATCGTTAGAGCTTGCCCACCCATCCTGAAGAACTCATTTTTTTCCTAAGAGTGAAAGGAGTAGGATTTACTCAAGTGTGAAGAATAGAAACACAGGGCTGGGGTTGTGGCTCAGGGGTAAAGCAGTTGCCTGGCATGTGTGATTCTTAGCACTGCATATAAATAAACAAGTTAAATAAAGGTTCATTGACAACTAAAAAATAAAAATTTTAAAAAAAGGAATAGAAACAAACAAAAGACTAGAAATAGAATTATTGTAGGGGCAAGAGGGGACCCAATATGGGTGGCCCAGGAGAACTCATTTTATCTATTGGAAGTCTTTTTGTTTGTTTGTTTGTTTGTTCTAATTAGTTATGCACGATAGCTCTTTTGGAAGTCTTACTTTCCCAAGGTCATTAGACCTATGATATCCTCTATCAGTTTTCTACGTACCACCTACTGATACTTCACATACATTATTATCGGTCACAACTCTATATTGGAGAAGCCGAGGCTTAGGAAGGTGGCCCAAAGTCCACCATCCTTAACATGTAGAAAAGCCAGTGTCTGAACCTATTGGGTTTTCTTAGCCACCTCTGAGGACAGAGTGTGAGCCACCATCAGCAGGTCCTCATGGAGAGGCTGTGGCACCTCCTTTCTCATACAGAGAAGAAATTAGGTTAAAGTCGTATTATTTAAAAATTTCCTAGGGACTGTGGGTGTGGTTCAGTGGTAGAGCATTGGCTTAGCATGCGCAAGGCCCTGGGTTCCATCCCCAGCATTAGTCATTCAATCAAAATAATACCTTAAAGAGCTAGATATTTATTTGAAATCTCATAATTTACCTAAGAAAGGGAACAACAATGTAAAACACCAAGAAAGAAACCCAAGCATGGGGCTTTCCTTTCACACAGTGCTTTAATCCTCTAGAGAGCCACAGGGCACACAGCAAAGGTGGCACTTAGCAATCAGTAAGTGACTGTATGAGCTGGTAGCCCCAGGTAAGTGGGTGAGTTTTGCTCATGTCCCCATGTCCTTCGCACCTTCCCCTCCCTCCTGTCACTGTGGTGCACTGACCTCCCGACTCTAGCCTGCTCTCTCCCTTCTTCCCTCCCGTTCATCTTCTCGGCTGCAGCTACAGTTAATCTTTTAAAAGTGTGGGTGCGGTCACAGCGCTCCCCTGCCAACAGCACCTCCATCCAGGCCACCCTGCCTTGCCGCAGCCCTGCTGGCCACTCTTCCTCTTGTCACCATCACTGCGTCCTGCCCTCCAGGGCCTCAGTCTTTACAGCTGTACCTTTGCTTGTACTCTTCTCTCTGGCAGAAACGTCCAGCCCTGCCCCTGTTCGCTCATGGGTTGAACTGAAGCTCACAAAGGTAGTTTATCTTTATCTTTATTACACATAGCTCCTAATTTTACCACTATTATAGAGCTTATCAACATTGTGTCTTAGTTAATGATTTACATGTCTCCTTCCACTTGACTTTGAGCTCCTTAAAGGCAGGACAGTAATCTGTGTTTGCATTTCCACACCTAACTTACTGGCATACAGAGGTATAGAATAAATGTGCATTGGGCTGGGAGTGTGGCTCAGTGGTAGAGCACGTGCTTAGCATATATGAGGCCCTGAGTTCAATCCCCAGTACCAAAAGAATAAATGCACATTGACTATTAAGATGCATATATTTGCCAAATTTGGTTCCATTATTTTCTGAAGGATTTTACCTCAGTGAAGAAATACTATCAGCTTTTATTGTTTTACTCTAGTCTTATTGTAGCAGAGACAGAAATTAAAAAGGCAAAGTTGAGCTGGGTACCCAGCAACTCAGGAGGCTGAGGCAGGAGTTTGAGGCCAGACTGGGTAACTTGGTAAGACCCTGTCTCAAAATTTAAAAATTAAGAGGGCTGGGATGTAGCTCTGTGTTAAGTCCCCAGTACTGGAAGAAAAGGAGAAAAAGGCAAAGCTGACTTAATCCCAAAGGCAAAAGAAGAACAGGCATAAAACTGGGATACACTTAAGTGTACCAGCAGAATTTTTTTTTCTCTTGGTACTGGGGATCAAACCCAGGGCCTCATCACTGAGCTACACTCCCAGGCCCCCAGCCCTTATACCATTGGGGTGGGTGGGTTGGTTGGTTTTAATCTTGCTTTCTGGTAAAGGATTCTGGTTACTTTTCAACTTACTAAACAGTGCACCCTATCATGACCTGAGGACGGCAATGGAGGAGAGCTGAATTCCTAGAAATTTCTCCCAGGAGACTTCTAATAGGTTCCTCTGGGTTTGAGTGCCCTTCTAAATTTACTCAGACTGAGGAGCCATTTAATCCAATCCCAAGTGGCTAAATCTCTCCTTTTCTCCACAGGGAAACAACTGGAAGGCATCTGGTGAGTCGGGTGGGGCCGCTCAGTGGACTGCTTTAGGAAACTGCTCAGCACTCTCAGCTTCAGGCCCCGCCTGTGGCTTCCAGCTTGAAACCCAGCCCTCTGCCTCCTATACCTCCTAAAGCAGCCGTTCTCCATCAGGGTTTTTTGCCCCTCCACCCCCACCACTGGATGTTTGGCTGTGTCCCGAGACATTTTTGTCGCAGCTAGGGGGAGGATGCTACCAGCAGCTAGTAGGTAGAGGCCTCAATGCCTCTCAGCATCCTATAATGCACAGGACAGCCCCTACAACCAGGTTTATCCACCCCTAAATGTCAGTAGTGCTGAGGTGGAGAAACCCTGACCTGTAGCCCCAGCAGCTCTCCACACCCACAAGTGCAACCAACTGTGGATTGAAAATATTGAATCTGTATTGAACACTTGCAGGCTTTTTTCTTATTCCCTAAGCGATAGAGTATAACAACTATTTTCATAGAATTCACATTGTATTGGATATTATAAGTAATCTTGAAATGACTTAAATTATACTTGAGGGTGTGCATAGATTCTATGCAAAAATTATACTGTTTTATATAACAGACTTGAGCATGTGTGGATTTTGGTATCTGGAGGGAGGGGGTGTTCTGGAACCAGTGCTCATGGACACGGAGGGGCAATCATATTTATCTTACTTATACCATTATTTGGTTAGTTTCATAAGACTAGTCACCACAGTCACATCCTTGGGCAGAAATTGTTCTCATAGCAGTATGGTGCTTGCTTTTTCTTGGATAAGTTTCCCTTTTCTGGCTCACTGTGTCTCTCTGTGTGGCAGGCACACCTCCATAGTTGTGCACAAGGATGAGTTCTTCTTTGGCAGTGGCGGTATCTCCAGCTGTCCCCCGGTGAGTGTCTTCCCCCACACCCTGACCTGCAGTCTTGGGTTCCTGTGAGGACCAAGAATTTTGCTTTTACTATGTACTTGGCCTCTGGCCTAGTGTATAGAGGCCTGTGGTGTAGCCTCATAAAGACCTTAAGACTCGTTCAGGGCCTGGGGATGTAGCTCAGTGGTAGAGCACTTGCCTAGCATCCAAGAACCCTGGGTTTGCTCTCTAGCACCACCACCAAAAAAAAAAGGCGAGGGTGGTTGGGAATTATTCAAGAAAACCTTGCCCTTCTCTTTGCTCCCATCTCACCTGTAGGTCCTTCCTTCTGGAGCTGCTTCTGTGTCTCCACAGGGAACTATGTAAGCTCCTCATGAGCTGAGATTGGATTTTACCCTTATATCCCATCACAACATAGAACCTGGCTCACAGTAGGAATCCCATCCATGTTGAGCTGAACAGAGAGGTAAAGTGACTTGCTCAAAGTTACACAGCCAGTAAGCAACAGCAGTCCTAGAGCTCAGGTCTCTCTTATTCATACCCCAAGCCCTTTTCCAGAACATTATTTTAAGAGATACCTGAAGGTGATCACAGGAGGTGCTCAAGCAAAGGCAGCACCCATCATTCTGAGTCTCATAAGTGGAAAGCCATTTTTTTTTTAATCCCAATTTGTTATATAAGACGGTAGAATACATTTCTTTTTTTTTTTTTTAAGAGAGAGAGAGAGAGAATTTTTTAATACTTATTTTTTAGTTTTCGGTGGACACAACATATTTATTTTATTTTTATGTGGTGCTGAGGATCGAACCCAGCGCCCCGCGCATGCCAGGCGAGCGTGCTACCGCTTGAGCCACATCCCCAGCCCAGTAGAATGCATTTCAATTCATATTACACATATAGAGCACAGTTTTTCGTATCTCTGGTTGTACAAGGGAAACGCTTCTTGATCTCATCTCTCCTCATTTCTCCAGAGCTTTCACCGTAGTCCAGGCCAGCCTCATGTCTAACGTGTATTGTGGCAAGAGCCTCCTGAGCTCCTTGTGTCCGCTCGTTCTTCCTCACTGTCCTCCACATGGGAGGCAAAGTGATGTTCTCAGAGTGAGCATCGAATCCTGATATTCCCTTGCATTAACCAGAATTCTCCCACTTGCTCTTGGAATAAAACTCAGAAGGCTCAGCATGGCTCCAAGGCCCCCTGTGCTCTAGCTTGTCTCCCTCTCAGCCAGCCTCTTTTTGGGTTGCACTCTCCCCACCTCTGCCCACTTCTCATTCCTGAGGCACCCATTGGACTTTTAAACCGGTACTCCAACCTTTACCTGCATATTACTCTTCATCCTTCAAATCTGAGCTCAGTGTCCCTTTTTCAGGCAAGTCTTGCCTGACCCCTCAGAAGGGGAAGGTCCGTCATATATTCTAATGGCATTTTGTACTTTCCAAGCACAACCATTATTGCAGTTTATAATTATACACTGGTTTATGTTTTTATCTGCCTTCCTGCTGGACCATAAGTCCCGTGAGGGCAAGAATCTCATATTCCCAGTGCCTATCTTAAGGCACAGTACATAGAAAATTCTTCACATGTGTGAATCATAGGAGGTCATGGTGACCCCTTAGTCTCTTACCACTCTGAGAAATTATCCTCTGACTACCTGTCCTGTTCACTGTGCCTTCTCCTAGAGCAATGTCCACTATATAGAAGGTTCTCGGTGGCTATAAATCATGACCTTTTCAGCAGCTCTGTTCTGGGGTGTTCTCCCTTCCCAGATCTGTCCTCATCCATTTCCTGTTACTTCCCCTTTGACTGGCATCAGTCTGTCAGCATCCTGTGGCACTGACTGAGGGTTTTCTGTAGGTGTCTCAGGCCAGCAGCTCTCCTGTCCTATGACCATCTGAATATTAGCCTCATAGTTCAAAACTGAACTAAGTTGTGGAAATACTTGCTAACCTGCCAGATTTCTCACAGTCCTTCACATTTTCACACTGTTACAAAGAGCATCCAGTATGTCACAGGAGAAACTGGCTGTATTTTGCTGAAACCAAGGCATGGAAAGCTGGCCTTTTAGGTGTGAGCCATTTCTTGTATTCTGTTCTGTCCTCGTGATCAGGCATGTTGAGGACAAAATGAGACTACAAATACTGGGTTTCTCTCTCTTTATCAACTGGATGAGTGGATTGCATAAAGTCGGACCTCAAAGAGGACCAGCTTCCCAGTCCCAACAGCAGCAGGAAGCCCGACGTCTTAGCTGTGCTGCTAGCATGTGACAGTTCAAGGTCCAATAGGAAGCTCTAAGCCACTGTAATCTTGATACAAACAGGAAATAACCCTCTTCATCTACCCAGAGGGCTCTGAAAGTCAAATAAGAAGTTGGAGCAGAGTGCTTGTGATTTTCTGCAAGGGACCCCATTTAAAAAATTCAAGCAGGGCATGGTGGTGCATGCCTATAATTCCAGTGACTTGGGAGGCTGAGGCAGAAAGTTTGAGGCCATCATGGGCTAATAAGGACTAAAAATATAAGTTAGTAGTAGAGCATCTCTGGGTTCAGTGCCCAGTACTAAAAAAAGGTAAAAATTTAAAAATGACCAGGGATGTAGCTCAGTGGTGGCGAGGCAAGTGTATGCCCCTGGATTCAATCCCAGAACCCAGGGAGCAAAAACAAAACCGAGGACTGGACGGGGGACAGCATGGAGGGCTATAGCTCAGTGGCAGAACACTTGCCCAGCATGTGCAAGACCCTGGGCTTGTTCTCCAGCACTATAAAACAAAAAACAAAACAAAGATTGTGACTTAATGGCTTTTTTTGAATTGGCTCTTTTAGGGAGGGACATTGCTTGGGCCCCCAGATTCTGTGGTTGATGTGGGGAGCACAGAAGTTACAGAAGAAATCTTTCTGGAGTACCTGTCCTCCCTGGGGGAGTCTCTGTTCCGGTGAGTGAAGGTGGGGTGGGAGTGGTGTCTATCTCCCTGACTAAATAGTCAGCCCCTGGGGGGCAGCCACTGTGTCTGTCCTGGAGCACTCAACACAAAGCCTGGTCCAGTTACTAAATGAATATGAAGAGAAGGCATAAAAAGAGCCCAAGGTTGTTGGCGACAGATACTCTACCCCAGCATACTTTCTGCTGAAACTTTTAGAGGAAAGATGGGCTGTTCGTTCCTGCTGATGAAAAATCAGTAAATGCTGTTCTCAGCCTCTACTGGCCAAGTGCTTTGTCCTGAACATCAAAAGCAGGGTTTGTAGCTGGATTGGGATGAAATGCAAACGTAAGCAGATTTTCTCTTAAGAAGCTTTAGTCAGTTTAATAAGAGTTGAATGCTACTGCTCTGCTTGTGTGAATGCAGACTCCAAAACTGCAGGAGCCACATTTTTTAGTTCATCCTTCTAACTTGGTTGTCAAGGTCCAGTGGGGCAGAAGGCACTATCCTTGGCATGAAGGACCCTTGCAGTCCTCACCCTCAGCTGTGCTCACCTTTCCACTTCCTGGTTTGAGTAGCTTCACATCGATGCTTCCTGGCTTTCTCATCCATTTCCAAATCTTTCTTACAATGCCAGAGGTGAAGCCTATAACCTCTTTGAACACAACTGTAACACCTTCAGCAACGAAGTGGCACAGTTCCTGACTGGGCGGAAAATCCCTTCTTACATCACTGACCTGCCCTCTGAAGTTCTCTCCACGTAAGTTGAGCTCTGTCTCTGCCCTGCCTTGGCCAACCTTGAAAATCCCCACTCAGTGCCCCTCCCCTGCCCACATCTGCCTTCCCTACTGGCAGCAGAATCCTTCCAACCAGGCAGACCTGTCCTGACAGCAGGTTCTACCACCAAAGGCCACCATTCTCCCCACCTGCTAATGCACACCTGTATCATGTTCACCCTGCTTGAAGTTAGACCATGGACCTGATACAACTGCACAATTTAGAAACCCACTTCAATATTTGGACAAAATCCTGGCACCTATCTTTCCCATCATGCACAAAGTGTGCCCTCCCCTGCAGTGCCAACTTAAGTGCAGTGTTGGGTAGATGTGGAGAGAGGTCTGAGGAAGAGCAAGGTGGCTTATTTCACAACTGTTGTTGCTTTCTTCCATTGCCCCCTGATCACTTTGACTCCCTCAAAACCAGGTTCTGGGCTGGGGGTTCAGGAAGTACAGCACTTGCCTTGAAAGCACAAGGACCTGGGTTCAATCTCCAGCACTGCAAAAACAAAAAGACCTAGTTCTGCTTGCCCATGAACAGTCCTCAGTAGTTTTTTTGTCCTATTCAGTACTGGGGATTGACCTCAGAGTTGCTTTACCACCGAACCACATCCCCAGCTCTTTTCATTTTTTATTTTGAGATAGGGTCTCACTGAGTTGCCCAAGCTGGCCTCAAATTTGCATCCTTTCTGCCTGAGCCTCCTGGGTTGCTGGGATTGTAGGTGTGTGCCACCACACCCAGCTTCACTAGTTGTTTTCTTCAAGGACACTTTTTAGCTCCTCTGCCTTGATGTTGTCCCAGCCCTGGAAGGCTTGTGGGCCACCATCCATGGAGTGTCATCCCCTAAAAGGGCATACACCTCCAAAGCCATCCCACCTTCTCCCTCCCTTTGCTGTTTACTGGTTCAGGCAGCCCCTGCCTGCTCCCGGACCATGTTTATTTATAGACTCAGTTTCTCCTGAAGTAGGGTCCTGCCCAACAGGATGTTTAGCCGGCAGGTTTAGCCAGCTCCACAAGGTGAGCTGTTTTTCACACCTGGGTAGAAACCTCTCACGAAACACTTGCCTAGGAAACAAGACTGCTGAAGAGCCCCAGCCTCCCAGCCTTGGCCCTGACCTCCTGTTCCTTGGTGGGTATGTGCAATCCCACAGCCTTGCTGATGGATCTAGGTTATGGGGCCCTGAGCAAACTTGCATAGCTGGAATGTTCTTGCTGTTATTATTTGATGGGTGGAGTTCCTGGACTTTCTGAATTAGGGTTGATGTTTCTAGGTTTCATCTGTTTACACTTTGGAGTACTTATTCCCTTGAACTTGGGGATGATTTTCAAAACGGCAGCACCACTGGAGAAAAAGCCTGTGCTTGAGGTGTGTTGTGGACCACCTTATTTAAGGGTATAATTACCATGAAAAGCCTCCAAACTCCAGTATTTGCAGTGACTTTTCCAGCTAAGTTACTAGGAGAGAAAGCTTAGTGTCCTTTAGAAAATGACATCAATATCTTCTGGCAACTTGGCCACTTTTTTTCTGAATATTCCCTGGAAGACTTCAGTTCCTAGAAGAATCTAGTTGTGTGCCATTCTCACTCCTGACTTTATCTTATTCAGATCTTTTTTGTTTATTTCTTTTTAGTTATTCATAACTCTTTATATTTTTTTCTTTTGCTTCAGTTTCCCTGGTTCAACCTAATTTTTACTTTCTTCTTCACAAAAATTAAAGACACACATACATCAAGTACAGAAAAGCTGTAGTTCCCTGTGGATAGGCAGCCTGTTCAAACCATAGCTCACCAGACCTTAGAGCCATGGATAGCAAAACTGTAGTATCCACTAAGGAGGGGCCCCCACTAGTGACAGTACAGAGCAGGCTCCTTGAGAGATGCCCTTTGTATTAGTCACCTTTCCATGACTGTAACAAATACCTGAGATAAGCAGCTTATATTAAGCAAAAGTTTATTTGGGCCCAGTTTCAGTCCAGAGTTGCTTTGCCCAGTTGCCGTTGGGCTTGCAGTGAGGCACCATGGCAGGAAGCAGAGAGAGGAGGAGGAGAACATGGGCCCCTCTGTATCCAAACCATAGCCCTGCTCTTGCCAGCACCCACTTCCACTGTCTGTCTATGGGCAGACCACACCCAGAGCCCACCCAGCTCTTGTCTGTTTCCCCGCAGGCCCTTCGGACAGGCACTCCGACCACTCCTGGACTCCATCCAGATCCAGCCTCCTGGAGGGAACGCTGTGGGCAGACCCAATGGCCAGAGCTAACAGGACTGCACGGGACCACCCGCCTCTCCAGGGCTTTTCCTTTTTAAACAAAACAAACCCTACCAGATTTCTATTTTATAATTTTACATCAGAGCTAACAACCAGGGGACGGCTTTTTAAAATCCCAGGGAAGGAGATCGTCAGGCTGCATGTAGGACAATGCTGCTAAGAAACAGAACAAAATGCCACCCCTTCTAATAGTATTATACTAATTTATTAAGGCTGTCTTGTCTGTGAGTTCACTTTTGACGCTGTTTCCTAAGCGTCCTCCACACTGGAGAAACGGAGGGGATTTGTTTAAGCAGAAAGCAAGAGGCACAGTTTGGAGGAGCCCCAACCTAGAACCTCCTTCCAGAGAATACCCACACTCCACCCAGGTTGCCACACCTGTGGGACCCAGGTGAGTTTTACAACATCGTGACCAGAAGCAGTTACTCTCTAGTGGTTCAAGTACCAAAGGATTTGGTACACTTGGGACCAGTTGCAGGGTGACTAACCCAGCCTAAGTGAACTCTTTAGCTGCAGCTCCCCGACCTTCCCTCCCCTGTCCCAGCACATGGGGCCAGGGCTGGAGCAGCTAGAGCCTCAGGATCACAGGAGAGTGACAGCAAGAAAACAGGATAAAGCCATTCCCCCTTCCACTTGGACTGATCGCAATTTTCTGCCATCAGTTTTGGAAAACCTGCCTTGCTGTCCACCACAGGGCTCTCTCCCTCAGCATAGCTGACCGACGGTCATAGCTGAAGGTCCGGGCTTGTGCAACAGAGACCCAAGCCTTCTGTCTGCAAACAATGATGAAGGTAATTTGCAGTCACTTAGAACCACCCACCCAGACCGATATGCAGTATTCAGCTGGGGACCAAGGGGATATGATTCCCTGCTCTAGGAAGATACCCCTGATGTAGAAAGAATAATGATGCAGAATCACGGTGGCAAGAAAATTTAGAATTGTTTCCAATAGGAACTTTTACATTATCCTAAATATGTTTTGAAGGCACATGTCATTTCCATTGTCATTCTGGCTTTAAGGAGGCCTGGTTGGAGTGTGAAGAGGGCATTTTCCTAAAGACTTGCTGCTAGAAATTCATGGGCAGGGAACAGTCTGGAATCCTGGATCTGGAGAGGCTCTCAGACTTCCTTTCTTTACACAAACCAGTGAGTGAGGAGAAAGGACTCGGCTGCCAGGTGCCTAAGTCGTGGCTCTCCCCCTTGGGTCCCTGCCACTTCTAAACTTGAGTTCAATTGCTCCCTCCAGGGCAGGCGCCTTTCCTCCCTGAAAAGCTGCTGCTCACCCCTGGCCCCATCCCCACCGTCTCTGCCATTAGCCATAGCAGTTGGCATCATCAGGGTCTCAGCTAGAGGAAAAGATGTCATTCTGCCTTAGTATTTGCTGTGATCTGACCAGGGCCATGTCCAGCTGGGATACCAAGTGACATTTGGAACTTTAAGATTAGAGGCCAAATGAATGAGCAGTTTCATTCTTCTCAAAACCCACTGAACTGCTGGTAGATGTAGATAAATTGCAGTGGAAACCAACAGGGATTCTTTAATATTGATTCACTTGTGGAATTGGCCCAGGAAGAATGGGTGTCCGAAACTGGGTTTCTTCTGGGCAGGTGGCAGGTTGGTCTCGGCCATCACCCTGCCTCCCACCAGTTTGCTCTTCGGCTTGCCTGGCCCAGAACTCCCTCTTCCCAGTTCCTGCTCCAGAGCTGTCTTCTCTATCTGGAGGGCAGTGGGCTGTTTTCTGCCATGTCCAGGCTCAACTGGTTTTGCTCCTTGCAGCAGGTCACCCTCAGACCCAGAACTATTCTGAGTTCTTCTGAGTGGCTCCCCTGAGGGAATTTGAGTCATTTGATTCCTCAAAAAGCCCCCCCTTCATGCCCAGCAGCCATTCGTGCCAATGCGGGGAGATGGAGGGGTGAGCAGTCTCCCAGAGCTCTGCAGGAGGCAGACTCCCATCCCCCTCTGCAAGCCCCACCGTCACTCTCTGTGGTAACCCAGGCCCAGGCTAGGACCCTAGCACCATCCTCCCCTCTCTCTGTCTATCCCAGAACCTCAGGGGTATACTTGTGACCAGCTAACTCCATGTGGGCATGTACAGGCAAACAGAACGGGAGATGAGTCATGTCTTTGTGTTACACAATGGACACCTCTGTAGACGTCCATTGGTTTTAAAGGGACAGAGAAGGAAGAGGGATGAGACCATTCTCCTCTCCCAGAAATAAAGCTTGTACCTTCGAGATTCCTTTATGCCCTTGAAGTCAACTAAAAATTGTGTCTAGTATGGAGGTGTCTGCTGGTTGACATTGGTGTTTTTTCTAATGCAATAAACATTTCTGCCTGCTGCTTTGTGTGGTGCTTGGGTCCCATCTGGGTGTGTGTCCAGCCTGAAGCAACCCTAGGCTTTTCTGTTTTTCTCTGAACTTAACCTTGCTGAGCCTGGAGCTGCTGCCTTTGCTTGGTGTAAACCTTGAGGATGAGCAGTGATAGCAAGGCAAGGCTTTCACTCTTGATTGATGGAAGATGGGGAATTGGGTGTGGTGTTACACACCTATAATCCCAATGATCAGGAGGCTGAGGCAGGAGGATTGCAAGTTTGAGGGCAGTCTCAGCAACTTAGCAAGACCCTGAGTTAAAATTTAATTTAAAAAAAAAGACTTGGGAAAAAAATATTTAGCCAAACATTAAAAAATATGTCAAGATGAAAAAAAAATAAAAGACTGGTGATATCGCTTAGTGGTAAAGCATCCTTAGGTTCAATCTCCAGTACCCCCCCCCCCCCCACACACACACACCAATAAAAAAGATGGCTAAAAGGCTCAGGGAATTCTTGCCCCAGGTCACCTTGCAGCTAGTGGTGGAGTGGTTTCAAATTCTAAGGTCTTCCCCAGAAAAAAACTTGGCCATCAGAAGGGTGTATGGCCTCACTTACCAAGAATTGTTCACTTCTTTCATCTTGGCTAACGGCTGGGTCTCTGGTTCCTGGGGTCTCTCCCCACCTTGCTGCTGTGATCTCACTGAACAAGTGGTGGGGCTGATGTTGGCTCTCAGTGAACCCAGGTGACCCACTTCATGTGAGCCATTTGCATGGGCCTTAACTGTGCTGGGTGCTTTCACACATGACAGGCTTTGAGGTGTCCCATTTGACAGGACAGAGAACCAAAGTTGTCCAGTTGGCTGGTGGCTGAGCCTGCCCTTTCATCCAGACCATGTTTTCTCACCACCTGCTGCTGCGGTGTCCCCACTGAGGCACTGTTTTCCTAGTGTGCTAGTTTAGGAATGACACAAGATTCTGGCTCCTTCCAGAGGGTGCGGAGTGCAGTTGGTTTTACTGACATACCCGCTTCCTGAGGACAACCTGTTCAGAGGAAGGAGTCCCTGAGACTCTTACCCAGGTCACGCACTGGAAGATAAGTCCCAGCTTCGACACTGGGGGGGCCTGTCCAGTTCAGTGACCCTGTAAGATGGAAATGGCACCCACCTCACCTTATAAACTCCTGCAGTTGTGCTTCCATCTACCTCTGGAGGGAAGGGCAGAAAACAGGTGTTTTCCCCAGACTTCGCAACTCACAGCCAGTCAGTCTGAGGTGGTTCATTCAACCCCACAGCCATTTCCCTGGGAGCAATATGTGCGGCCACTGCACTGTGGTGATGGGTACTGTTGGCAAGGCCCTGCCTAGGCAGGTGAGGCTGGGAGACGAGAGTGACAAATTAGGGGATCCCAAATGGTGATGGTGCCAGAGAAGTAATAAAGCCAGGTGGCAGCATTGTGTGGAAGGAGGGATAGGTTAGGTTGGGGAGGCTTCTCTGAGGACATAATATTTAATCTGTTACCAGAATGATGAAGACCACAGGTCTTGGGGGTTGGATTCCTAGCAGAGGGAATAGCTAGTGAGAACGCTGGAGGGTCCAAGAGAACAGAGTAGGTGGGCAGAGAGCAGCAGGAGGTGCAGGGCAGGGGCTTGGGGGTGAACAAGCAGGAGAGTGGGTGGTTCCCATGTGCTGTTCATGGTGGGAGGGGCGCATACGGTGAGAGGCAGCAGCAGGAAGCCTGGGAGGAGAGCAGTGGGGTTGGGGCAGCAGGTGCACAATGCACCGAGGTGTGCCTGGTGCTGTGGAGAAGCCCTGGACAAGACTTTGGAGCTTAGACAGCAGCCCGTGAACCACCGCCCTGCCCCTGCCGTATGGCCTCCCCTAGGCTACCCCGGCTTTGAACTTGGAATGTGCCTTGATTTCTGTGATTAGACTGTAAGGGTGTTTCAGAGCTGGGGGTGTAGCTTAGTTGATGGAGTGCTTGTCTATCGTGTATAAGGCCCTGAGTTTGATCCCCAGCACTGAAGGAAAAAAAAAAAAAAAAGAATGTATTTAGAAAATCGAACAATAAAAGTACAAAGATGAAAAAAAAAAATCACCTGAAATTACATCATTCTGAGAAACTACCAACCTTGCAGATGTTTCGGGACATCTGAAGGTGCACACTCTGACCATGCTCTCTGGTATCTCACTTTGTTGTTACATGCAGTGAGGAGGCACAGGTGGGGGTGGTGCTGGGGTAGAGGGAATTCTAAGAGGAGAACCTTCCAGCAAAGTTCCCCAGTGCCTGAGGGAACTGTCAGGTGGCAGTGGTGGGGGCAGGGACCTGCTTGGGAGTGAGATGGTAGTTTAGGGGAATACCTGCCCAGGCTAGTTGGGAACCAGACTGAGACTCACTGTCCTCATGCCCAGATAGTGACATAAAGCCCCTTTAAAATTAAAAGTTCCAAAGTGTTTTCAGCTCTTGAACTTCCTCTGCTGAGAATGAATGGCCACGTATGTTGCCAGGGAAGCTTAAATGGGACGTGTTCTTAGGCTTAGCGCAGCCTTGCTGAATCTGCATTTGTATCTCTCCTGATTTTTGTTTCTATAAATTCTAAAATCTTCTGTAACACCCGGGATTGGTCTGTTTCTCCCCAGTTCAATCCCGGGGTACTGGGATTGAACCCAGGAGCACTTTACCACTGAGTAACATCCCCCGTTCTATTTTTTTTGAGACAGGGTCTCAGTAAATTGCTTAGGGCCTCACTGAATTGCTGAGGCTGGCTTTGAACTTTTAATCCTCCTAAGCCAGTGGGATTACCTGCCTGCGCCACCACGCCTGGCTCCCAGTTCTCTATTTTTATTTTATGACAGGGTCTCACTAAGTTGCCAAAGCTAGCCTCGAACTTGCAATCCTCCTGCCTCAGCCTCTGCTCCTCCCGAAAGTTAAACTGCGGAAAATCGTTTTTCCTTTTTACATCCTTATTTCTTATGCGAGTCCACGGCCAGCCACAAGCCAGGCAGGTTTCCTGGTTTGGCTGCCGATAACAAGAGGGCAGGCAAAGAGCCCAGCAAGGGTCTGACACACAACTGAACGTGATTCCTTGACCAAGGCGCTGGAGGCTTTGGAAAGATGGAAAGCGGCTGGAACTGATCTGGTGTGCAGGATCAGCTGGAGAGAGTCGCGCACGGTCACGCGGCCATAAGGGAGGTGAACACCAGGGGGCGCTGTCGACCAGCATACCCGGCCCGGCCCACCGCCCAACTCCGGGCATGCGGAGTTCCGCACATACTTGGGTCACTGCTTGGTCTAGTAAGAGTCCAGGGGGTGACAGCCAAACGCCTTGCCCTCACATTATCAAGGCCCTTCTCATGATCCAACCCCACGCCCTGCCTCAATTGCCAGTCCTTTGTCACGCACGTGGTTTCACAACCTCCATGGCTCAGTCCACATTTGCTCCACCTGGATCCCTTTGTCAGCGCTTTGGGACCAGCGGTGTCCTCTTCCCACAAGAGCTGTCCGCCTGATCCCCGATTTGCCTCCCGCACACTCCCACCAACCCAGCATTGAACAGACATCGGGTGGAGGGGGTAGGTCATCAAAAAAGAAACTGGTCCTCAATTCCAGCCCACCTGGATTGAGACTTTGAGACCTTGATCAAGCCCTTCCCCTCCCTGGGCTTTTTTCTTTATCTGTAGGAAACATGTATCAGATGGTCCCAAAGATCCCTCCTAGTGTGACTCCTCTCCCCACCCCTGGCTTGAACAATCAGGAAAGAACTTGACCAAGTTCTTCCAGTAGTTGGGGCTGGGCTCTCATCCACAGAAACCACTGATCTGTCCCCACTGGCTAAGAGCCCCATGGGACCTGAGCCAACCCAGCAACAGCTTCCACTCTCTCCAACAAACACCATCTCTGAGCATGCGCCCTTTGCCCTTCAAGTGTTCAGATTCAATTATCTATTGTGAAAACAATGTAAACCCTGTAGGTATTTTGAAAAGGAAAACAAACTGTGACATCCCTTTGCAGTGCCTCTTTATAAACACCTCCTTCCCTACTCCCCTCATCTTCCTGGCAGCATTGCTGGCTCCATCCCTAGAAGAGGAATGGCTGAGAGTGGAAGGCACCTGCTTAAGGCCAGCTGCGGGGAAGAGTAGCCCACCAAACTGACACGGAGATTGCCCACCTCCAAACCCAACAACACAGAAGAGGCTGCCCACCCCTCAAAAGATCACGTCCCAGGTAGAGAAATAAAAAAGTCAACAGCCCCTATGTTCTTTCAGTGTGTTGATTTCTACACTGCCTGCACCACCAGGGAGGAGCCAGGAGAAAGCAAAGGATTTGGGGGTACAGACGGGAATCCTGACTGTACATGTGACCCTAGGAAAATCACTGCATTTCTCTGGTGTCAGCACCAACCTCTTGAATTTGGGTACTTCAGAGAGAGATTGGGAAACACAAGAAAAATGCCCAAAGTGGGAGCTACACAGTGCCCACCAAACATGAATGTCACTAACCTTCAAACCTCAGGCTCCTGTTTGGCTCAGAAGAGCCCAGGGTCTTCTTTCCTGAAAAGAACCCTGCCAGGTTGGGGTCTCAGGCCCTCTGGTTCAGTCCTGGCTTCCTCTGGTACTCTCAAAGCCACCCTTCTGGCCAGTCCTCCCTCCCTGTCTTGCTCCTTCCTTTCCCCAGGGCCCCATCTGAGCACCAGTTGCCAAGGATGAGTTAAAGGGACATACTGGAGGCCGCAGGGATTTCCCCCATCTGGTATCCCTGTGTCTGTGCTTCAGAGCCAGTCACCTGGGTTTCAGGTGAAATGCCTGTGGTTGAAAATTCAGATGAGAAGCTATAGAAACTGTGTTGTAAGAAGACTGGTTCTCCGCAGTCTAAGGCACGGGTGTGGGGACAAGGGAACTTATCTTTGTCTTTGGAAAGGTGGATCCAGTTCTAGGAAGACAAAACCTCATCCTACCCGGTGGACAGCATCCCAGAACTACCTGATACCCATGCCAAGGGCGGGTTCCAGGAAACTGCATTCAACCAGTGAAAC